CACACACACACACACACACACACACACACACACACACACACACACACACAGAGTGCTCTCAGTCCAGAGATCTGCTGGATTGTATCTCCATCTAGTGGAGATTCTGGAGTTGTTTGTAAGTTGTTTGTGAGTAAGTTGATTTTCTTTCTGTTTTAAAGATTGTTTGAGAATGTAGGAGAACATAACTTCATTAATTTGTGTTTCCTGCTCGCTAAATTTCACATACAGAAACTAAAATCTGGCTCTAAATCTCTCTTGTCTTTATTCAAACCTGGCAACACATCCCTTACTCCAAAAAAAAAAAAAACACAAAAAAACAAAACAAAAAACAAAACATGGTTACTATAGTTAAACCATGCTAACCACAAATTAACCATGGTACTTGCAGTGAAACTGTGGTTATACCTCCTAAAGCCCAGAAACAAAAGGTTTTGTGAATTTAGTATTTTTTCATGTCATTACATTGTTTAGAGCATAAGAAAAAAAATTACAATTTTGAAAAATGATATTTTATGCTATAGACCAGGATAAAAAGACAAGAATGAACGTGAATAGGCAAAAACAATAAATCATTTTTAGGTTTCAGGATTTTTTTTTTATACCAAACTTTGTATAAAGATGATTCTCAACTATGTTATGAAAGATATAACAGAATGATATCCCATTTTGCTTTATGCAGTATGTGTGTAAAATGGACATAAGAGCGTTTACAATGTGCATCACTGTATCTAATTTGCATATTGATGTTCCTGGGGCCACATGTAATGAAAAAAGGAAGAGTAATAATGGGAGCAACAATTAGCCAGATTTTCATAATAATATCTCATGTTTCATAGGGATATAGAAATATAATTTCTTTCCCTATTGATTGGTTGTGTCTCCCAGAATGCGTCATGCACACAGTTGTATTGCTGCTGTCTCTGCAGTGGACATGCATGAAATCAGTCCTGTTTCATAACAGAAAATCTGGTTTTGATTTGAAACCCCATTACATTTGCCTGAGATTAGTTTAAAAATTAGTCAAATGTAAATACAAAATATTATCATAAGTGTTAAATTTGATCACTGAATGAATAGTGGTCTTAATGTTTTAATTTAAGGGATCTGTGTTGTACTTTCTTTCTTCATTCGTTCTTTGTTTTAGAGATACTGGTCTCTAGCGTAACTCGTTTTGTCTTCACTTTGCTCAAGCTTTTGAAGTGTTTGCATCTGTGTTCTGTCAGCTCTCAATGTGAGCTACTTCTGATACCAGCCGAGAGATGGCGCTGTTCACCAGCCGTTCCTCACAAACACAGCATGTGTATTCGCATATTGTTCTCTCTTTTAATGTGTATGTGAGTGTAGATGTCAGCTGCATCATATATGTCTAAAGGATTACTAAAGGATTGTCTAATTAACTTATTGTTATTGAAATAATGCTTACTGTATGGCACTTTTTAAGTTTAAATTTGAAATGCTACTATAATTTATGTTTTATATAAATGATTGCAGGTATTATTACATACTATAATTTGTATAACATATAAATAATAATAATAATAATAACACTGAAAGCTGCGTGTCGAGTGCGTGTTGAGTAGATGACGTCATCGCGTAGCGCTCATTGGCTTTGCACGATGATGTTTTGTTGCGCTATCGTTCATCTTTTTTTATACTGCGAAAATACTACCTAAATGACATCTGGACATAATATGCGATTTTAATGATATTACAGGAATTCAACTGAAGAAGCGGATGGAAAACTTACAGATATGGCCTATAAATACATTGAATTACTTGTTCATTTAAAGAATAAAAGCAGCGGCATCTCCAGCTGCATTCAGTGTGTTTTCCTTTATGTGGATCGCAGATCTGAGTTTTCTAACCTGCACTTTTTCACTCATTGACGAGCTCGGTGTCATTGAGGAATTCTGCGAGCGCGGTGCGGCGTGGGCGTGGCTTCCGCTACTGGCCACGCCTCCTGAATAAAAGCCCGCACGCAGACCCAGCAGATGATGAAGTGCGCTCGTGACGCTCGCCGTCTGAAGATCCAGCGATATTTCCATTGACTAGCAGCGGCTGATGAGCTCGCAGGTGAGATCTGATCATCCTCTCTTAACTCATGCATTGCGTTGTTTTGAGCAGCTTATGGCACTAAATATGGCATTCAGCTCGTTTATCAGTCAGTGTGTGCTTGGCTCCATCATTCAGCGCTGCTCGGTCAGTCTGAGTCACGTCTTCATTCCTCTGAAGAAGCAAAGGTCACGTTCCGTCATGAATCGCTTTCGCTCACTCACATTTCCACAGACGCGTGTTTCCATCTGCAGCACCACAGAAGCTTCCAGCAGTGCTGTTTCACCTGCAGCTTCCCAGATCTCCTGCTCCTGCTCCTCGTGACTCTGTTGAATGAAGATCATTAGTTTAGTTCTTGCAAGCTCTCGCATTGAGTGCAATCCTTCACATGTGCTCCACAGATTGCTGATGAAGAGCTTGCATGTAAGAGCAGATTAATATATGAGGGCGATTCCAAAGACATGCACACCTCATCATTTTTCTTTGAATTAACATTTTGTCACAGCTTCAGTGTTCGAGCTCATTCAGATGAAGCCACTTTTATGTCTACAGAGCTTTCAAAACAGCTTCACATTAATAAACGGGGAAAAACAGTTGATGTTGTAAAATTCATCAGTTATCAAACACGTTCAGTTTCAGCTGAGAAGCAGCTCTGCAGAAGAGCTCCGTCACCTTGCCAGGCTCTTCCAGTGTCTCCTCAGCTGGATGTGTGGCTCGTCATGTGCTGTGTTTGAAGCTAATGATCTGAACCTGTGTCTGTGATGCTCTGCTCAGCCAGTGTCACACGAGTTCACCAAAGCGGCATTTATTAGATCAAAAATACAGTAAAAACTGTGAAATATTATTAGAATGTAAAATATCAGTTTTCTATGTGAATATGTGTTAAGCTGTAATGTATTTCTGTGATGCGCAGCTGTATTTTCAGCATCATTACTCCAGTCTTCAGTGTCACATGATCTTCAGAAATCATTCTAATATGCTGATTTGCTGCTCAACAAACATTTCTGATTATTAGCAATGTTGAAAACAGTTGTGCTGCACAATATTTTTGTGGAAACCGTGATGCATTTGATTTTTCAGGATTCACAGATGAATAGAAAGTTCAATAGAACAGCATTTATTTGAAATAGAAATCTACTGTAACATTATAAATGTCTTTTCTGTCACTTTGGATCAATTTAATGCAGCCTTGACGAATAAAATGATTAATTTCTTAAAAACAAATCTTACTGAGCCCAAACTTTTGAACAGTAGTGTTTGTCGGAGGTGTTTCTCCTGCAGTGAATCAGAGCTGAAGATGATGGGAAATAATCAGTCGATCAGCTGATACTGAAACACACGGCTGAGATTCAGAGGTGTGAGTGTGAGTGTGTGAGTGTGTGTGTGTGTGTGTGTGTGTGTGTGTGTGTGTGTGT